CTCAATAGTTTATGATTAATACTAATATTAATTTATAATTGGACTGAGAGAGTTTCGTCATTTTACCGTCACGTCTAGAACCGAATGATTGTAACGTGTATTTATTTTTATTGTTTGACAATAGCAAAGGAGTTTATAGTTTATTTTAAACACAACTACAACAACCTATTTTAGATTAGAGCATTCACACCATACAAACCGAACGGATAAAATCCACCAACGTCCTCAGTTGTTCGCGCATGTTTAATTTTAGGTGAACATTCGCCTCAGACGGCTAAAATTAAACACATTGTTTTGACTGGCTCTATGCACACCGGACGGATGTTCGAGCGCGATATCGTTGAAATTTTCATTTTAATATTAAATTATAGTTGTATCCTGTAGGTGACTTCCTGGTGACTTTTATATAGGTAAACTTAACTCAAAGTAATATTGAATTACCTAATACCTATTAAAATATTTAATTCAAATTTTAATTTGAATATGAATATGAGTTCCGCTAGTATTGATCTGGAATATTTTATAATAGAGATATTATAGATATCTCAAGAGCAGTCAATCTGGAATTTAGGTAAGTCTAAAGTATATTTTTTACCACTAATTGTACACATTTATTTTGATTTTCAGTAAATCGTTTTGTGTTTTTGTATAGTTTTTAGTAGTAAATTATTGTATTGAAATGACGTGTTATCCACATATTACATTTAGAATCAAACGAGTATCACAACAAGATTCAAAAATATAAAAGTTGGTCAAGGGTTGCAAAGACTACTTTAAATGATTTTGGCAGTCTTGACGTAACTGGGAAGAGAGAAAAAAGTAAGCATACTCGTTCTAAAATCCATTAACTTATTTTCAAAATGATATTACAACTTTGAACTTACAAGAACAATTGAAATAATATAACTATAAATATTTGTATTATTGTCGGTATTGCAAAAACTTATAATAATATTCAATCTTATATAAGTAATGATATTAATAATAATAATAACAAATTAAAAACAAATATGACAAATAATTTAAATAATAATAATATATTATAATATGACGTATATATAGTATAATAATATAATATTTAATAATAGGTACAATTTTAATATTGCAGTTAGGCACTTCCCAGACAACAAAATTATGTTACCACAATATTCAAACAATGTTATAATTTTAGTAATAATATTATGAAGAACATTATCATAACATTATTTAAAGATTCATTAACATCATAATAACATTATGACAAAATTACAGTGGTAAAAAAAATCATGTTTCCATAATGTTGTATTATAACATTTGTAAAATATTGCACTTTAACATTTCCACAAAAACACAGAAATGTTTTATATTTAATAATGTACTAATATTCAGAAAACATTTCCACAAGAACAAGGAAATATAAAGAATACATATTGTATTAAAAGAATAAGTTGTACATTTAATTATATATCATTCTTGTTTATTAGTTTTTAATAAAAATAAGTAATAACATTCACAATTTATTAGGTTAGTATTGGTTATCAGGTTGTTTTGAATTTTTTTTTTAAGACGAAATGGTGCATGAGAAAGCCATACGCCAAGGCAGTTGTCAATATCTTTTTCTGGATTATGTTTGTATTTAATGTTCGATCTAATTGCATCTGAAAAATGTTATAACCATATTATTTAATTTAAATATATTTTATAATATGTTGGTAGCTAAAATAATATGTTGTTTCATAATTTGTATTTTAAATTTATTTTATACCTAGTTATGACGTAGGTACACACTACACACTAAACAGATAAAATACAAACGTACATTTCCCTAGCCCCACCCATTTCAAATTTTCAAAATTTTTCTACGCCAATATTTAGCACGTGATTAGCATGAATTTGTACGACCGTTTCCGAAATTTGTACAGCAGCGGTTTACCCGGAAAATTCAATTTTATATGGGTGGGGCAGGGGAAACGTTTTTCCAGCCCCGCCCGCGCGGGAAAACAGTTTTTCACAACATTTTTCTACGCCAATATTTAGCACGTGATTAGCATGAATTTGTACGACCGTTTCCGAAATTTGTACGGCAGCGGTTTACCCGGAAAATTCAATTTTATATGGGTGGGGC